AAAAAAAAAGGTTACGTCACGGGTCAAAGTCATAAAACTAAAACCCGAACATGTCTTCTGCGTGAAAATTTTGAATTGTATTTCATATAGCACACATACGTACTAGCTTGGGTGGACCAGTTAGAACTACTAGCTCGAGTGAGTCGGTCTGTGATAATTTCTAGCTCGACGATAGTCTGACTATGTCGAAAAGCTCGGTATAACAACTCGAGCATAAGTCAACATTAGTCAACAACTAGTAGGTGGGGCTAGTTAGCGAGCTTGGTCAGAGGAGGGGTCATGAGGTTGTTTAAGCGACCTGATAGTAGGGTCATGAAGTCAGCACGACAACCAAAGGACCTGCAGTGTCCTGACGAACTAAGAAACAAAATCTTATTCACATGATAAGTCTATCATGCTGAGGTTATTTTAGAGTCGTGTTTTGCTAGAAAATGAATATGAGCAAAATCTTTTTTCTAGTGATAAGGTGGCGTGGACCAGAAGACAACCTTCATATAAAAGGAGGTTACTAGGTTACTTATGTTTTTCTATCGTATATTACATATTTCAATACACATATAATTTAAGGTCAACATCTGACTTGAGCATCAGAAGACTTACCACCGAGACATCTCCCGGCGTATTTTGCAGTTCAATGGAACTCAAGTCGAGAACAATTCATGATATCACCGGTCCGGAAGCCGGTCTGGAGTAATTTGAATATCAATAGGCACCGTCTGTGGATAAATCTAGTCTTTTACACTCTTACTGGTCGACAAGACTTGATTTTCTCATAATTATTTTTTTTTTCTTGAGTGCAAAGACAACCATAGGATGGTCGGAGATGGTTCGAAGAAGAATATGGTCAAAGATAAGGGGGAAACGCTGGTATCCCAATCCTCTCTAAGCAAGCAGGCCAACCTGAAGGTGACATTACAGGGGCCGCACAACACCTTGACCCCGGTGATGAACCCTGTGGCACAACCCAACCCAAGATAGAAGCCACTGGCTCTATCGCAGAGACACTGGCTAAAGAGGAGTAGGAGCAACTTGCTATTGTTGAAAACATGAGACCACTAGAAGTAGTCGAAGCACAGCAACACGAGACCTCGGGGAATGTTCGATCACAAGAGCTGGAGAGAGGACAACAAAAAAACCCTGGAGAATAAGAAGTCCCCAAGGGGGATCAACTTATCCAACTTATGAGAGAAAAGTTTGATAGGACCGTAGCCGAGGCGGTAGTTTGAGTTCGGGTGCTGCTACTGGCCAACTATGCTATTAATCAGCCGCAATTGGATCAGAGAGCCGAGAAGGGAGAAATTAGATATACTAATTCCCCGAGCACAGTGTCCCGACCTACGAGGGATTCTACCTTGGAGAGAATGGTGGCTCAACTACATGAGTTGATGGCTTTGGGAGGGATTTTTTTTATTTTTTTCAAAGTGAAGCCCTAATAAGTACTTAACTTGGGGAGCTCGTGGAGATAAACTTGGCAGCTTGGTTGGATAAGTGGACTTGATAGCTTGGTGAAAGATCAAATAGTTGAAGATACTAGATTCTACTCTTGGGTCGAGTCACCTTAACTCGACCAGAGTTGGTGGTGGGAGGGGGGAGAGGTGGTGTTAGATGATATGGCGCACTATACCGACCACTCCAGCTCGTATAACTTAAAGAACAACTCGGAAGATTGAACGCGGCTGGTAGCTTGATTGGAGATCTGACGACAACAAGTCATGTTAGGATTCTAGGAAATGTTAAGTTGTTCGGGTTAACAACAGGTTGAGTTAGGACCTTAGGATAGTCTGATAAAAACTCGACCTGGAACTGGAGAGGTCAATTGACGACCTCCTCAAGACCAAAATAGTGAAATCTAGAAGGATCTGAGCTATTTAGCTTGGTTATGTCTAAAACAAATACCTAAGGATGTAGAATAATGTGAATGCATCCTATAAAGGATAGTGTGAACACGATTGGATAAGAATAGCACGTGGGTAACAAAATTGCTTGGGCAACAAGATCAAGCAGTTTGGGCAGCAAGATCGGACAAATCTGCGACAATCCAAGCACTAGGACAGCCAAATCGGACAAATCTTGAGCAACAAAGTAATTAGTCTATATAAGGAGGTTAAGTATGATTATTATTCTTCTTCGACACGGTGAACATTCTAAGCTACTATACACTATACACTTCACCCCTCAAAATATAATGATTACAGTAATATAAAAGTATAATGTATAATAACTGATATTGATTGATTGCTAAATAAATATAAACACATACACAAATACGTGTGCGGGTGTAGTACTTTATGTTACAGAATATATTGTAATGTTACAGAATATATTGTAATATTTATTATTTATCTTTTAATTGTGTTATTTAATAATTAATACTAAAAAATGAGAAGAGCAAATAATAAACAAGCTGGATTTTTTTTTTTTTTCAACCGATCCCAAGTATTTTTTAATTTTTTTATTATTTTTATTTTTTTTTTGTACAATAGACAAACCATATTTTTTGATTAATCACAAGTAAATTGTTTTTGTATATACTACCACTACTAAAACAAGCCAACTTGAACTGTGTTCCACACAAAGCACTTTTGGGCTTATGAAATTGTATGGTCAAGCGACTTATTAGACATGGATTTCACTGTTTCGCTTCCTATAAAAGTAAAATATACCAAAGTGTCCAAATAAGAGAGCTGTAAAATCGTACAACTAAGATTAAATCGAAATGTCCCAGCAACATCTACCATGACGGTAAACGAGCAAAACCAAGCCAAGCTCAACCTGATACTCGAGCTTGGTTCGAGCTTCCAAGCATGCCTCATTAACTACACGATCCGATAAACGAGTTAGGCGTTTATCAATATCACCTAGTTAAACTAAGCGAAAAGTTAAAAGAAATAACCTAAAACCCTATTCTAGAGTAAAACCTGAGCTTTAACAAGCCGAGCTCACAAGTGGCTTCCCCAACAGTCCAACACATTATGAAAATTTGTATAAGCCGAGTGAAAAGGAGAGAAACATAGAGGTCACTTGTATACTCACCAAGAGTTCTATAGATTGAGCTAGTTCACAAGTTAGGAAAGCTAATCTGTATACTTTCATTTATCGGCCGACAAGACTGGCAGGCCATTTGAAGCTGGATCGGGCGGGTTCTCGTTCTGAACTGGCACGCCTTGCTTTTCTTGTTGCACGGGCACACAAGGCCTCCAAACCGTGTCTTTCCCTATATCCATTAAAGCAATTCCCTTTGCCACAAGATCACTCCTAATTTGATCACTTCTCTCAAACTCTTTATTGTTTCGAGCCAATGTCCTTTCTTCAATAGACTGCAAAACCTCTTCTTCGGTTACACCCGCCCTCTTTAGAGCTTTGTCTTTCAGTTGCTCCAAAACCTGTCAAACAGTGTCCCAATATTTAGCTATAAATAAATTTTTTTCTTTTTCTTTCGCGAATTGAAACCTAAAGAACTCGAGACATTTTTGCAACATTTTAAGGGGAATATCTATCGAGTTGGAGTTGCTTTATAATCGTACTAAATCTCTAGTTATTCTAAAAACGGTGAACAATGGGTTTAAACAGTACCTCGGCATAATTTAAACTCGAAAGCAAGCCAAGAACACCTAGGACTAACTTGACTTCCTTCTGGAGCTCCTCGAGGCCCTTAAGAAAAGATAATTTTTGTTGCTTCGGCAGCTTTTTCTGGACAACAAAAATAAATATTTTTAAAAAATAAAAAAATAAAAATAACATAGAATAATATGCGGTATGTTCACAGGAAAAAAAAAAAAATGTAATATAATCTCACCTTCAGCTTGGTTAGGCAAGTATTTATAAATCTCAAGGCTTCCTGAAGAGAAGAAGTCAGGATGGTGGGTGTGTGCAAATCATCTGCCAATTTTGCCTCAAACTCCTTCCTCAGCTTTTTGATGCATTCTTGTGCATCAGATCCAATACGGGCGGGTTTTGCATTTGCTTCCGTCTCTTCTTTTGATTCAGATAAAGCATCTTCAGACTCTTGCAAAGTCTAGAAACTTAAAACAATTAGCCACAAGACTGTTCAACCGATTACAATACTCCCCCCTCCCCCTTTGCTTACTACAAGGGAAATGCTATTATTAACTTTTCTAGACAATGTGATTTCTCATTTATAAGAAAGAAACGTTCCTCACTTGATACAAGTAGAAAACCGAACCCGATGCAATTTCAATCTGCGATATCGAATAATTGACCGGGGAACGGTAGTGGGTCCCCAATAGAAAGTACCTCAGTGCAAGTGGATGGTACATCTTTGTAACCTATAAAAAGGGAAATTACAAAAAACAAAAATGCAGCTGAACTAATTGACAATTGATTCATCACAAATAGAATTTTGAGGCAATGGTTATTCACCTCGCGAATAGTGAAAAAGTTCCCCAGGGACTTGGACATTTTTTCGTCATTGGCCGTGACAAAGCCATTATGCAACCAGTAATTAATTTTGCTCTCTGAGCAAGCCGCACAACTCTGGGCAATTTCATTCTCATGATGAGGGAATATCAAGTCCATCCCACCACCGTGAATATCAAAAGCATGAGTTAGGTAGTGAGAACTCATTGCACTGCATTCTATATGCCAGCCTGGCCTCCCTGGGCCCCACGGGCTCTCCCATTGGGGCTCCCCCGGCTTTGCAGCCTGCCATTATATGAGTGAATAAAAGAAGAAAAAAATGAATATAAATTCATAAAATGTATGTCATATGCATAAAATGAAAGTTGGAACTACTAAATGCTCGAGCTTTTTCACCTTCCACAGGGCAAAATCTGCAGGATTTCGTTTCCTCCCATCGACGGCAACTCTTTCGCCAGCTCTGTTGTCTTCTAACTTGCGTCCAGATAGAATACCATAATTCGGGAAATTGTCCACTGAAAAGTAAACGTCACCATCAACGGCATAAGCGCAACCATTGGTAATAATCTGCAGGAATGAGAGCCAAAAAGGTAAATAGAGGTAAACTGAAAAGGTAAGTATAAATAGACTGACATATTTCAGCAAAAAAATTAATCCTTAATATTATAATTTTTTACCTACCTTACAGACAAGATAAACTATAATAGAAAAAACAATGCGCGAAAAAAAAACCTGTGCAATCATGTCCTTGATCTGTTCCATATGATCAGTAACACGCGGCTGGTGAGTTGGCAGTAGACACTGGAGATCAGCCATGTCATTAAGGAACTCTTGGCAGAACCTGCCACTTAATGCTATTGGATCCTCCCCAACCTCGTTTGCTCGGCGGATAATCTGAAATACTCCACTGTTCAGATCCAAAGAATAAAGACTACACAAAAAATAAAAGTGCATGAACAGACCATTACTAATTAGTTGCCTTCAATCTTGTTGGCATATTACATGAATAAAGCCAATGGGGAATACCACTTCCGCATAAAAAAGAAAGTCATAATCAAGATATGTACAATCCACAACTAATTACAACCTTAGCTTAAGTTGTAAAATCTTATATTTCAACCATAAAATGTTAACACGCAAAGGATGAGAATAATGTACACATCAAGGAATAAGACAAATATTCAACCACAGCCACTTCCCCACGAGATTGAGGTTAGATCAAATCATTAAAAATATCAACTACAATGTACACACACACACACACACAAAAACACACAAGGGAATGTGTATCGACGTTTGAAAGGAATAAAAAGAACACGTTCCCTTTCCCAATATTCTCGTTAAGTTGTCGTAATTTGATAAATAAATACAGATCCTTGGTCACCTTTTTGCGAATCCTCGCCTCACCTTCACATGTCTAACCATTTATTAATATCTATCCTTCCATGACACCAAAACTCAAACTAGAAGGCAAGCATTATTTGGGTTCACTTCATGGAATTCTCTTAAAATATCGATGGTTTTGCGCATCCATAGCCACATTAGCCAGAAACACCTCACCTTATCATCGACATCAGTAAAGTTACGGACTACGTCGTAGCCCAAATGCTTCAAATATCTGCAGCATTTTATTTCAACAAATATATTTCAGGCGGAAAATTAAAGCAAGAAAATAAGTTGTTTTCTGTAAGTAAACTAACAGCATTGACCAAAATTCCATCTTTCATCAAAGCACCAGAAATCCCATATCATCGGAACAGATAACCACACAACAATCAAATGCTCACAAAAAAAATTGAAGGTAACACAAATCCCAATCAAGAGTCGTCAGTCGAACCTGTAGAGAACATCGAACGCCACGTAGGCACGCGCGTGGCCGATATGGCTGAGGTCGTAGGAAGTTACGCCGCAGACGTACATTCCGACTCTGCCGTCGACCCTCGGCTTAAATGCCTCTTTCTGCTTCGTCATGCTATTGTATACCTGAAACTCCAAGCTCTTCCCCGCCATGTCTGTAGTGAGAATTAACAGTCAGAAAAACTTCGTCGTATGGATCGGAAGAGATTTTGCTCCAAGTGATTGGATTCTGCCTGCGTTTTGGTCTGGCTAGTAAACCCTACGGGATAGGTATGCCAAATTCTGTGTCGGAGTCCGGCGGCGGGTCACCGGGTTAAAATCACTGACACTGTTCGGCCCGGTTAAAATCCCGGACATGTGGCCAACATGTCTATTCGGGCGGCGCACAAAAAATCACTTAGGGTATGTTTGGTAAGCTAAATAAACTAACTTTTAGTTTATTTGGTTAGCTTATAAGCTCCCTGTTTAAAATAAGTCTCTTTTGGTAGGACGGGTTTTTTTAAAAAGCTCGAGCTTATTTCATAAGCTACTTTAGGTAATTTTTCAAATAAGCTAGTTGAATTTTTTATTTCAGCTAGTTTATCAGTTAATTTACCAAACACGTTTAATCATATAAGATAGTTTTTCAGCTATAAGTCATAAGCTATAAACTATAAGCTCAAAAATTACATATAAGCTATAAGCTAGTTTATCAGCTATAAGCTAGTTTATCAGCTATCAGCTAGCTTATCAGCTAGTTTTACCAAACATAGCCTTAACCGAAACGATTAAAACCGAAAATTCGTTTTGGACTGAAATCGAAGTCCAATATTTGGTTAATTTTCGGTTTATATTTTTCTTAAGATTTCAGTTTTCTATTTTATTTAGATAATAGTGATCAGTTAATTGAACTGAAATTCGATATATATATATATATATATATATATAAGTTTGATTATTTTTTAAATAGTAACTATTTCCCTTAAAAAAAAAACTATTTTGAAAAATTAATTTCACAGTTTATGGTATATTGCAAATAATCACTTATGCAAATTGCGGCTCATAATTTAAGGAAATAATTAAGTCATCAAAAATTCATTTTTAAGATTTCTTAATTATTCAAATCATGGAATTTGACTGACTAACCCAAATATGAGAATTTCGACTTCAATATCATTTATTGATTTGCAATAAAAGTTTCCAACTAAAATGTGTAATTTATTATTTAATAAGTGTTGTATATTATACGTGTAATTCTTTTGTGAAATACATTTTTATTATACATAAATTACACAAATGGGGTAAATCCGATCTATTTTTTTTTTAATCTGCAAATAATTACTACAATTATGAAAATATCAACAACAATAATCAATTATGCGATTTGAAAAAAAAAAAAAAATGTTCTAAAATTATTGTGTTAATGACAATTTCAGTTAATTATTAACAAAATGTTATTCCTTTTTTGTGTATTAAATGACTCATATCGTGGATAATTAAACAAATAATTAGACCATAAACATATATATATATATATATATATATATATATATATATAAAAGATACCCCAATTACGCAGATTGTGTAAATTCGGTTGATTTATTCAATTATAAATTTTTATATAATTGTTTCAAAATAATTGTGTTAATGAAGTTTCTATTTAATTATTTTTTAAAAACTATTTTTGGGTATTTTTTATTTTTATATATAAAATAAGGCCAATCTTATGCCAAAAATTATATTTAAGAAAAATATTGCTTTCCACTGAATATTTAACTAAACTTATTAATCTTAAAAAAAGCATAACATAGCCCATTTATCGTTTTATACTAAAATAAAGAGATATTAAAAAAATATATTTTGTTTAATTTGATGGATAACATAAAATAATTCCAAATTTTATTAATGTAAGTAAATATCATTTCAAATATGTAGATAATATCATCCTAACGCTCCGATCATAATATCCATATGAGATCTTTTTTTACCCACCTATTAAATTAATCAATTTGCCTATAAAAATAACATACACTCTGAGTTATTATTCTACATTTCCATCCCCACTCATCGAAAAATCAAGCAAAACATAAAGAACAAATAAAATATATTTTACTGATAAGAAATTCATGAGGACTCGTCAAGCAATACACCGTTAAACTCTACGCAATCCAACTCTTTTAAAGGATGAATGTATCTCCGTCGAACAAGAAGATATTGAATAGTAATATTTTTGTTATTATGAGGTATTAAGTTTTATTTGGTATGAGTGTGAAAGTCGAATGTTAGGTTGATTTTTTATAAAATCAAGGTGATATTCTTCTCAAAGTTTAGCATAATTCTATAATAAATTGTCATAAGAATTATAATTTGGCAAAATGGTATGTATTCCTCCTAAAAATCATAAACATCTTTGAACAAATATTAGTTAATAAAAATTAAAATTTAACTGACAACAAATCAAGAAAATTGTGAGATAATATAAATATATATATATATATATATATATATATGAATTATATAAGAGAATTTATTGTGTGGTTCAAATTTGGGTTTTTAATTTTAAAAGTCAAATAAGTAATTATTCATAACTTGCGTGTCAATATTAACTTAGACAATATTAACTTCGACGTAAATAGAATAGTTAATTATTTATAGTTTAATGAATTACTCAACTACTTATTTTTTTTATTTTGATAGTTTATACAAATATAAATTTATTTTAATTAATGAACAATATAAGTCTTATGATTATACTTATTATTCACAAAAAAAATTTAAATACATTGTTTGAAAAAAATTAATTTGTTAATGTCACTGTAAAATTTCTTATAATCGCATAAACAATTGTTATAATAAATTTAATACTCTTTAGCCAATTAATTGTTCTTGATTCCTCAAAATTACAAATATTACATTCTTTATTATATTTTATGCAATCAATATAGTGATTCATATGCAATTGAATCGTTATGTATTATTTATTTTAATCAATGATTGAATTGAGCAACATAATACCTTTATCTAACTTATAATTTTAATATTATATGCATAAATATAACTTATAATACTCTTTGTTTAAAATATAACTAGTACAACACCCGTGTATTACACGGGTGCTTGCTAAATTTTTTTTCTTAAAATCTAAAATTAATGAGAAAAAGTAGTTTGAAAATTTAAATTCCTTTTATAAGAATATATATATTGTTATATATTTATTATGACACTTTTTATTTGTGCAACTTACTTGTGTTATATTTTACTATTTTTTTAACTTACAATATGTAACTACATTACATATAAATATATCAATTGAGAAATAATTTTATTTTTCCAATGAATTTTAATAAATATTATTATTTTTTATTATTATAAAGATAAATATAATTTATTTATTTCATATATACAATATGGATGTCAAATCGAAGATCATCAAAAGATGATT